GCAAGGGTGGTGGACACGCCTGAGGCAGTTGGCTCCCAGGACACCCCGGCCGCCAGCCGGGCCAGTCTCAGACCCAGCAGCCCGCCTGTGGGGCCGGGGACCATGGCGTCCATCGTGTGCTTCCACAGGACAGCCGCGAGGACATGACCTGCACTGTCCCCGACCCTGACAGGCTCCTGCCCCCTGGGCCTCAGGTTCCCTGCTGTGGGCCTGCCCCCGAGCAACTAGCAGAGCCTGCTGCTCCGGCCCAGGGAGTGCGTGTCTGAGGCAGAGCATTCAGGCAGGGCTGGCATGTGCCAAGGCCCTGGGGCAGGTGGTCTGGTGGGGAGACAGGGAGGAGGCCACTGTGGCCCCACAGAACAAGGTGCGGGGGCACAGGGAGGAGAGGTAAACACAAGGGCCTGGCGGTTCCTGCTGTCCAGGCCGCCCCGAGGTGGTCTCCTCGTAATATGTTGCAGGTGAGAACCCGGGGCTGGGAGGGCCGTGTGCTGGAAGGTGGTCGAGGAGACGGAGATGGAACGCCTGTGCAGACACCTCTGCGCCTGGCAGCCTCGGTGTTCCCATCTGTGAAATGGGAAAGTGACGCCTCCCTCACAGGTGGCCCCCGGAAGCCGGCCTGGCATTAGGACGTCTTTTGAACAAGTGATGAGCCGTGAGGCACACGCCGTGGTGACCTCCCTCCCAACACTGGGCCTGCAAATGCTGCCGCCTGGGAGCCTAGCCATGTGCTCCCAGGGCGGCCGGGAAGGCTCCCCGACTTGTGTGAGGTCAGAGGCCTGGGCCGCAGGGGTTGGCCAGGGGGTGTCAGAGGAGGGCAGTTTCCCGTCCACCTGGTGGGCGGGTTAAGGACTCGGTTTGCCCCGGCCCGTGTGGCTCAGGTGGTTGGTTGTCACCCGGGAGCCCGAAGGCTGTGGTTCAGTTCCCACCCCGGGCACGGGCCGGGCGTGTGGGCTTGGTCCCCAGCAGGGCGTGTGCAGGAGGCAGCCAACAGCCGTTTCTTTTCCTCCCTCTCCCTTCCTCTCTCTCAAAATAAAAAATATTTTTAAAAAGTAAAAGGCCTTCGGGCTTGATCCTAAGGGGTCCTGGGAGCCTTTGCAGGGTGTCAGGCTGGGGCGACCTCGTCGATCTGGTTTGTTTTTTCTTAAATGTTTAATTATGAAATAGAAGTTGTCCCCACTTTTCAGCCGAGACCCCTAAAGCTGAGCACCGGCTGCCCGAGGCTTGGAAACTGGGTAAGAGGGTCCCTGGCCGGCCTCCTG